GCATGTGTATATGTATGTACGTATGTAGTATCTATTTAGATGCCTATCCTTTCTACCTATTTCTACCTATCTCTCATTCTATCTATCTATCTATGTACCTATCTATGCAAGCATGTATGTGTGAATGCATGCGTCCAGGCACTTGTATATATCTCGATGCCTGTTCATGATGCATGGATGTGTGCCTACCTGTCTGCGTGTCTGTCTTCTTGCGTCTTTGCATGTACGTATTTAGATATGTAGGTATATATGCATGTAATGTATGTATGCATGTATGTATGCATGTATGTATGCATGTATGTATGTATGTATGCATGCATGTATGCATGTATGTATGTACGTAATGTATGTAATGATATGTACGTATGGAAGTAAGTAAGTATGTATGTATGTATGTATGTATGTATGTATGTTTGTGTGTGTGTGTGTGCGTTTGTGTATGCATATATACATGTATACGTATATGTAGAATATGTAGATGTATGTATTTATGTCTGCATGCAGGCATGCGTGCAGTCATGCATGCATCTGCACCCATGCATGTATGTACGTATGTATGTGTTTACGTAATGTATGTATGTATGTATGTATGTATGTATGCATGCATGCATGCATGCATGTATGTATGTATGTATGTATGTATGCATGTATGATTTAAGCAATTGTATGCATGTGCGCATGCACGCATGAACATGCACGCACGCACGGACGCACGCACGGATGCACGCACGCGCAATCATGCATGCGCTCGCATGCACGCATGAACATGCACGCACGCACGGGCGCACGCACGGATGCACGCACGGATGCACGCAGGGATGGATGGATGGGTGGGTGGACGGAGGGATGCATGGATGGACGGATGGATGGATGGATGGATGGCATCCATTGGGGGAGGCATGAATGGATGGATGGATGTTTGGATGAATGGGTGTGCACATTATAGTTGCCCGACATCTTCTCGGCTTAATCTGCAAACAAAAACTGAACCCCCTCAGGCGCTGAGCTACTTCTGGATCATCGTCCACTGTGGCTTGGGTCTCGTCGCTTGGTGCCCCACTGTGAGTCGGGCTTTGCGGCTTTAGGTGGATGCTTTGCTTTTCTTAGTTTTTTTTTGGGTGGGGGGTTTAGGATCGGGGTGTTTTGATTTTGAGGGTTTCTGAGGCGCCTTTTCGTCGACGGTTTTGTTCAGGGCTTAGGTTTATTTGTTTTCTGTTCCAGGGTTCAGGGTTTGAGGTTTTGTGGCCTTAACAGTAGGCCCTAACACTTATGATTGTCGCCTGGTTTGAGGGCCGGAAAACCGCGAGACGCCCAGACATTAACTTGACCCCAACTAAAGAAACCTATAACCCACAATCCCCACAATCCGAATTCCATCATAAACCCCTGAAATCCGAAATCCTTTGAGACGGCCAAAAGAATCCCCTAAGCATCCTTAAGCACTAGACTAGACACCCATCCCGGAAGCATCCTGAACCCTAAACCCAAAACATCTAAAAAAAACAAAAATTTAGGTTTAAGGTTTAGGGTTTAGGGTTTAGGGTTGAATCTTAAAACATCTGGAAACTATGAAGCTGGCAGGTACCTCGAGAGAAGGCTCCGCCGTGCCGAGGGCGACCTGAGGCAACTGGAGGACCCTCTTCGACGGTTTCGCGTTGAGGGTTTAGGGTCCGGGAGTTTAGGGTTTAGGGTCCGGGGGTTTAGGTTTAGGGATTAGGGCTTAGGGTCCAGGAGTTTAGGGTTTAGGGTCTGAGTCTGGGGTTTAGGGTTTAATTGGAATCTAGGGACTTTCCGAGCACGAAGCATAGGGTTCTTTCAGGGTTGGAAATTCTATAATGTGAGGTTTGGTGAGGTATGACAGAAGGGCCTTCACTTAGAACAGGGTTCTTTTCAGGGAAGAATGAATCACGGGAGGGTCTACAACACAAAGGCCATAGTGACTTGAGCAGGTTGCTGTGGGGATTCTATAACAAATGCAAGGGCCTTCATGATTTGAGCAGGCTGCTATAAGGGTTCAGGAAGGGGTGTTCTCTCGTAAACGGATATATATATATATATATATATGTATATAGAAAGTTCTCCAAGAGGGCTTCCAGAATACAAGGGCCTGAACCACTAGAATGGGGTAAACTGCGTGATTAGAACAGAACCCTTAGCACAACCAGAAAAATAGCGTACTAGACGCACCGCAACACAGTATTCCAAGTACAGCCCCTTATGGATCCATGTTCTAGGCGTCCATATTCAACCATCATTTACGAAAACTTAAGTAACCCTATAGAGCCTTTTGGAACCTTTCTAAGATGCTGAGAGAAGCCATGCCTCCGAGGCCTTCACAAGGAGGTTGTCGGTGGAGTTATGTGTACCTTTACTTGGGGGTTTCCGAAAATAGGTAAATAGGGGACCCTAATATAGTACAAGGACCCCCAAAAAAGGTACCCCCTATTCTCGGAAAGTCCCACTTGGGTTGCGAGTCCCTGAACTTTGAAGCATGTTGATCCTTTACAGTTCGGAACTCCCAGCAGGGAATACTCTAAAGCTACCCTGAGCCCGTCATTTCTGGGTTTCAGGCGTTTAGGCTTAGGTTTGGGTTTAGGGTTTAGGGTTTAGGGGTCCAGTAAGTGTGTATAGAACCCGAGACTCGAGGATCCGTAGCATCGAGGCCCCCAGACAAGCTAGTTGCTTTGAATCGCAAGAAAGCAGTCACCTAGCACCCCAACTTTAGCCCTGAACACTTATAAAGCCCATCAGGGTTGAGGGTGTGGCAATCTTGTAGTTGAAAACGAATGTACGAAGCGCGAGGTCACGAGTCATCAGACCGTACTTGAAGGACCACTGGTAGTCACAAGGAATGACGCCATGTCGACTGATCCAGACCAGCTGGGATGTTTCTGCACGGCGAGCATACGTTCGACGGTTAGAAAACAACGGAACCGCTCACAAACTGAAACTCGCGCTGCCGCTCCACCACTGTCTACGAAATGGCAAATGCGGCAGTAAGACGATTCCCTCTTTGTGCAGGGCTTTCCGGGTGATCTAGTACAGCATCTGCAGATGGCGTTTGCTTAAGAGGGCTGCCTGGCCTCACCGTTTAGATTGATCAGCAGTCTGGCTGCCTTGCACACTACCACAGATGGACGCTGCTTCGTCCCCGGCCTCAGGAAGCAAGAACATTCACATGGAAATTGAGAAGAGCATGTGTCGCACCTTTTTTTGGAGCACAAGTTGTGAACAGGGTTGACGAGCTTGAAAAGCAAATGGTGGTAAATGACAGAAGCTCGAGGTGAAACAGGCCTCATGTTACTTCAAAAAGTTGCTTCTTGATTTGGACATGTTAAAGTGATACAAGGGAACCTTCCTTTGGCAAGCTCTTCCTGTTGTCCTCACGTGAACCCGCGGTTATCTGCGCTCAATCGATTGTTCCGGGGTTTTAAGGTTGCTGACTCGACGCAAATCGGTTTGGTTGGAACATCTCGCCTTTAACGCACTACGCATTTTTGAAGCGATCACAGGCGGCGTTGTGAAGATATGACGTGGGTTAATTTTTCCATCTTGCTTACCCAATAGACCAAAGAAGCCAGAAAAGTTAGCTTTGGCTTC